TTCGACTTTGACAAAAATAAAAAGCAAAACGGGAGAAAGTAAAAAAAGGGACATAGTAATAACAAAGTTAGAAGAAAAAATGCAATTGAATGATAAAAAAACAATTGATATGTTTGAGGTCAAATAATACAAGAACACACTTTCAGGTGATTTTCACGGGGGATTGTTTTGATCCACGGAGCTTGGGATTGGTGGTTGCAGCTCTTTTCTTCTGCTTAGTGCGAGGGTTGCTAGATTCGCCTCCCTCGATGAACTTCAAAAGCTCATCAATGCTTCTCGAGTCTAGTCCGTTTGGTTTATTAGATGTTGCCCCGTTGGTAGTCGCGGGGTTCGATTGACCAACCTGAGGAAGCGGTTTGGTTCCCATGGTCACGCGAGGAGAAAGATTGGTCCGGCGCAGTCTGCGCGCTTGGATGTCCTTCGCATGCTTAGCGATGGACACGGCGTTTTGCGTGAGTTGTTCAAGCCAGCTTTCTGCCTCTTTGGTGTTTCGATCGTTGGGACCAAGTTCGTTGAGGAAAATGTTGTAGGCATCACGCATGCGGTTAACGGCTGCCTTTGAGTCTTGGTCGAGAGCGAGGGCTTGGGCAAGCTGGAAGAGAATGGTGGCGGTGTTTATGGATTGTCTTCCGAAGAGGCCTTCGCAGACTGTCAAGGAAGATTCAAACCATTTGCGGGAGTCGGAGTATTTCTTGAGATGCTGAAGCATGACAGCAGCGTTGTTCATGGTGGTGATAGAGTCAGGGTGATGAGAACCATAGATAATTTTCCATAGCTCTGAGGCATGTCTGATATAAACGAGGGCGGTTCGCGTATTGCCTGATGCGTGCTCGAATAAACTCAGGTTAAGGTAGCTCAAAATAGTGTCGGCAGAGTCGACACCCATTGTTCTCTCAGTAACAATGACAGCTTTCCGGGCCAACTCAACAGCGGCTTCCTTCTCGTCTGTCTGGTAGTAAATCATGGAGAGCTGGTGGTACAACTTTGCCACCTCTGGGTGAAGGATGCCATAGATTTGCTCGTGGAGGGACAGAGATTCCAAGATAAGCTCTTGTCCAATCTCTTTCTGGTTCTGCATCAACGAAATACGCCCAGCCTCCAAGGCTTCCTCCGCCAGTGCACTTCGGGGGGAAGCATCCTTAACCAGAGGCATGATGTTAAGAATATCTTCCGGTACAAAAGTGATAGCGGGTTTAGGGCTTCCCAAAGTCCGGCTTGGGGAAGCATTGTTGCTTCCCTTCTTCTTCTTTTTCTTGCTCTGCTCATCTTGTGAAGCGCGAGTGCCATTGGTAACAGGCGAGTGTTCCTGAGGTTTGATCTGCGAATGCTCAAACGCAAAGTCACGAGCACCTAACTGAAGACTAAGCTTGATAGCGATATCTCGCAGGATTTGAAGGCGTTTGAGAGATTCAACCCAGCTAGGATCCAAATTGAATCTAAAACGGACCTTGATGTTCTTTTCGATATCCTCTTTCAAAGAAGTGGGAGTAACTTTTTCGAAAGAGAAATCACCCTCTGGGTAGAATTCCCTCAATTCCTCGTCTATTTCCGGGAGTGGGTTTGAGTTGAGTTTTGTCCCAAGCAAACAGTTCAGCAGATGTGAAATGCAGGACGCGGCGAAAGGAGGTGGAAGATATCGCAGATATCGGTTGGCAATATGTTTGAAGGCACGAGACACCATCTCTTGGATCAAAAGTGTGCTCAGAGCAGCCAGCCTTTGCCCCTTTTCTTGCGAGAGCCTGGCTAACTTGCCCAGGTATCGAACATTGATACCTCGCTTGTGGAGAAGTTGGGTCAACGATCTGCTGTCCATTGGGAACCCTACGTCACCATTGTGCAAATCCTGGATAAGTTCGGGAATTATCTTGGAAATCAGATATTGGCAGGCCGAACGGACCTCCTCCTCATCCTGAGCCCACTCCTCCTTTTCTTCATCGGTTTGAGGCACTTGTCCACTGAAGACATCGGGGTTGAGGGCAAGTTTAAAGGCGGAGATGTCAACACGTTCCTGTTCTCCATCGACGGGCTTCTTTTCACCTTCACCTTTTCCATCCGTTGATGGTGCCTCCGTCTCGTCTCCCTTTGGTGCTTCAATCTTTTCAGCGTCTTTCTTCGCAGCCTTTCGCAGTTCAACTTGCTCCTTCACATACTGGCCCATCTTAAATCTCCAGTACGACTCAACCAGCTCCAACCTCAAAACAGACATTCTGTGGGGATATGGCTCATGTCCGTCAGCATCTTCAGTCCATGCAATATCCAAAGGAGTTATCCGGTAAAGGTCGAGAACGTATTTTCGACCATCCGCACCTAAGAGTCCCTTTGTCTCCACACTCCCTTCCAGATCGTGTCTTTTACCCTCCTTATCCCAGACCGGATGCTTTTTCACTCGCAGAGAAGTAGACAGTTTCTCAAACACAGGCACAAAGTCCTGGTGCGCTGCGACAATCTCCTTACCCTCAACTCCGCCATAATCAATCTGGTGTTCGCCAGGCTCCCGTTGCTTGAAGATGCCAGGAACTATGCTCTGTCCAACCAACCGCTTGCCCAAGTAGTCAACGACAACAGTGCCAGGGGTAAAGAGGCCGGGGATATCAAGCTGGTTGACGGCTTTCACGCCCACAATGTCCTTTCCGACTGCAATCCTAGCAGCCTCGTCGCCACCTTCCGACGCAAAAGTGCCAACTCCATCAGCTCCAAAGGAAAAGAATATGTTGTTATAAACGAAAATTTGAGCGTCTCTCCCTTCAGTTGGGTTCAGAGGTGCAATTTCGCCTCTGGCGACCAGTACAGCACCACGGGCAGCGGCGTCATTGTAGTCAGCAAAAAGCTTTGAGGTCAAACGTTCTCTGAAGACTTTATCCTGGACCGTTTCCCTGGGCAGTTCCCTTGTACTCTGGAACTCTTCATTCCAGTCTCTCAAGGTTTCAGAGTTATCCACGCCGGAAATCAAATAGTTCTCCTGGGAACGAGTGATATCGGCCTGATGGGCCGTAATTGGTGAAGAAGCCGCCGGCACAAGCCATGGGTTGTTGGGGATGGAGTTTTGTATGGGAAAAGTAGTCAACAAATCTTTTTTGTTGTTTGACTCCTGTATGGCTTTAAACGCAGCATCGAAGGACGGGGACAGCATCGAGATCAGCGTCAGGAGAGAGTGGGCGCTGTAGTTCTTAGGAGCGGGTCTAGGGAAGGGGTCGAATTTGGCATTTGAGCATTTGTTCACATAGAACCCGGATACATGGGATGTTATCTGATGTTGCTCGCCTTCATTCGTGGTTACCTGGAGATATAATAGGTGTCCGCGTTGGCGGAGATGGTATGGTGGGGGATTCCAGGGCGACAGGGAAATTGCCTTGACCGTCTTGGGAAGTGGGGGTTGAATTCGGGGGAGAATCGTTTGCAGGACGGGTGGCACCGACACTTCGAAGTCTGAAAGGGCATGACCGTTGGCCAGGGCATCTTGCCCTTCTTTTGTGTCGGATAACTGTTCACCAGCGGCGACGGCATCATGGAGTGACAAACCAGCACAGATGCCGTGCAAGTTGTCAATGCGATCTCCGGCCGCACCAATCAACTCTCTTATCCGAATTACATGCATCCGGGCCTCCTTCTCGGTGTACGGATCCTCGATCAAAACAACTTCGGAATCGGCCTGGAGGCCCTTGACCTCGGACAACTCAACATAGTCGTTTATTCTGGTTCCACTATGCTCCAAGTGGAAGCTCGTGTACTGAAAGGTACCTGGTAACTCGACAATCGACTGACGAACATCCTGGACTTGCTCCTGGCTCGATACCTATAGAAAAAATTGATCACATTAAAACTGATGTTCGAATTAGCGGGAGGGAAAGAGTTTCTCACCGTAACTTGGATGGTATACGGCTCGTGAGGAAGCTTGACGGAAATTTGAAAAAGACCTGCATTCAACCCCAAAATCGGTCATCAGGAATTAATTTATAGTCAATAAGTGATTAACAGAGCGCTCTATACCTCCAACTTGTTCTCCGTCTACATGATTTCCATTAGAAGTTTGCTCAACTCCATTTTGTTCCGCAACCTCTGTGGGTAATGTGCGTATTAGCATTCTCAATTTGATTGCTCGCCAGGCTTTCAAAATCCCTCATACCTTGAGGATGTTCTTTCTCCTGAGTAGGCTGAGCCATTACTATTGCTTTAACGCTGCAAACGATGTCAGTCCGCAAGCTTAAAGGTAAGTATACAGGATTAAAGGCCGTCCCAATACTTTTCTTCTCTTCTCTCTTTTTTTTTTTGGGTTTTGTGTTTTTTTTTTCTTGGGACGACTAGAGACTCAATGGGTGCAATAAAGCAACAAATAAAAACAAATGAAAGCAAAATGGCAAAATAAAGCAAAAAAGGAGACCAGTCTATAGGGTTGAGGTGAGGAGGAGCAGGAATTTTTAGCCCGTTCAGATTATATATATATATTCCACTGCTTTTGACGGAAGCAAATCTTGGAGAAAATTTCACGGAGCCGGAATTTCTCCTCGGAAACCATCGGTCCCAGGAGCAAAAGAAGCACTGCAGCACTGGTGGCACTAAACCCGTTCAGGTGAGCTACTGCCGCCGCTCGGGCCGAGAGTCTAATTCTAAACCTCATCCCCCCCCCCCCCAAAAAAAAAAAAAAAGGTGTAAAAGAAGTACAACGGCTCTTATGGATATACTACTGGGAAGAATAAGGCACTAGCTTGGATTGAAAGTCTCCATACATGTACCTGAATCGCAGAAGGTTGAAGCAATGAGTAGACATTGCGGTTAAAAAAGGAGGAATAAGGTTAGTTGTTCGTCTATGCCGATATGATCTAACAACATTGCGGATCACAGATCACACAAGCACAAGCACTCTGGATGTGGAAATAATGACAAAACTATCGTCAGCAAACTTGGTCGCCGGTTTATCCTGATAACTCGTCTTCCTGTCCCTTTTCACAGAACCGTGGTTAACTGGAATGATTGAAGGATCAGTATTTCAACGACCGCCGTGTTCAGGTATCATCCGCAGGAAGTATTCTCAATGCATCAACCGATTTATACCCGCTGGAGCGGAAATATTCCTGCATCTTGCCCATGTCGACTGGATTCGATATTAGTGGACTCATCTCAAGAAATTGATAGTTGTTCATAACCGGCGTCGTTAACGGACATATTAGACAACACGACGCCCGTATATATGCAGTTGATGTTGTTTGTACTCAGCATTTCGATCTTCGCTCAGATCAACTACAGAGCTAGCTGATCTCTGCGAACCTGCGCGAATCGTAATCCTCCACTTGGGGACAGGCATTGATTTTAATGGCCATTGCGAGTCGATGCTCGTAGCTGGATTCAATTGCTCAGGGGAACCCAGACAGACACTCTGCTGTCTTCTTAATACCGCTTCCTCCGATGTCATGATCGAAGATCATCTGGCAGTCTGTAACTATCTTTTGAGATTTCCTTTACAATTTAATAGAATATATAAAATATGCCCTGTCAATGTTGAAAACAAAATGCAGACGTTCTCCTGATTTACAAAATCAACAATGTATTTTGTCTCCTTATACGTATCCTGTCTATGCTCCCTCATCCAATATATCCAGCAGATATAGGATCGTTTGAACACACCAAACGCCATGACGAGGACCTCCTTTACGGCCTCAGGATTACGGGGATTGCTGAGCATACTTCGATGTTTCCTCCGAAGTCGAGATGGTGGAGTCACCATCGTTGAGTTAATACTATAGTTTATGCACATGAGCTACTACTGTCGAATCTCTCTCTCTAGAACTCACATTAAAATATCCGTATCTGTGCCTTGTCCCAACCTAGTAAGGGGATCATCCTTCGTGTGAGGATGCCAGGTGATGGGAGTGTCCGCCATGTCGAATATAGAGACGTAATATCACCTATTAGAATAGGTAAGGAGTTGACATAGAGGACAATCGCGCAAAGTGAGCTGGTACAGCGTATTGTCTGGATTCTAGATGAACAAATAGACTAGACTTCATATCAAACTGAATCTAGATATCGCCAAATCATACCATTTATATCATCTGTTGTACTTTAACCGTGCTATTGGTAATGAGCTGTGATTCATAGCATCAATTAAATAAACAGAGCTTTTAAAACCATTCTCCAACTTCTGGCGTGAGTGATACGGTTTCATATGATGACTCGAGATATGCAGGGCGATCGGCTATGGAACGTTTAGCCGGAATATCTCACTATCGGTTGATACCATGTGTATGTTTTATTCATTCGCGTTATGACGGTATATTTATTGAAAGCAGGATCCAGGGATACTGTCTCGACAAACCAACGTCTCCTTGCTCTGTCTAATCGCCTCTGCGGTCCCAAGCATTTAACGCAGGATAACGTCACAAGAGCCAACATCATTTAAAAGCGCCATCTTCCATCAGGGACCAAGTCCAAAAGGGTAATTTAGACCAGACATATAGTTGACCGCCGCGGAATTATCGTGCGATGTCTACGAAGATCTTCCTGTCTGGAGTTGCTGTCAGCACAAATCTGACATTTGCATTTGTGCAAATTCTTCCCGGGTGGAGGTAAAGACATTGATTATTCGTCATCCCATAAGCCATTATTGTCCTCTTTCGACTTCTCTGCTTTCCGCTGTTTGCGCAACTTGAGCTGGACTCAAGGAAAAGGCCCGTTTTCTACCTATTCCACTCCGTAATAACCCACCATCCATTCATCCGTGCAATAGAGTCACCTCATCCGGCAGGAAAGCCGCGAATAAAAATTATCACCATGGCCAAGTGCATCTTACCTAACTAACCCATCCGCATAATCACACTTGGTAAGCTCCTGGAGCACCCGATATCACACAAACGGAGTCCGCAATGCGGCGGAGGATATCAGCCAGGAGCCAGGGAAAAGGTGGCCGCGAGCCCGCTAGCCGACCTTTTGCTTCTGAATCCTTCAGCTTCAGATGGCCTCGCACAACCAACAGGCTAACCTCTTTCTGATCCACTTTGCATTCTTAAATGAAGCGACATCACATTTTCGTTTGCCAAACACAGTTCGGGGTCACTGATCTCGGTTAAAAGGTACCCCGTTGAAGGGGCGACTGATGATAAGGGAAATTTGAAGGCTGCGGGGTTGATGGTGGGTGCATCTAACGGCACGATATTTGAATCGCGTTTTGCATTAGAGCAATGTGTCTGGTCCCCTTTTGTTCTCTTGATTGATGGCGAAAGATATGGGAGTTACGTTCGGTATATGCATTTTGTTGAAAAACTCATCTGGCGACTTTTTCGGTAAAATAGAATAATAAAACGCCATCTTTGCTAAATTCTTCGCCATCCTCCGACATCCAGCTGTGGAGGCGGCGATAAAGAAGAAAACTTGTATATCGATACCAGCCAGCCAGCCAAGCGGTGTCCAGTGGAACAATAGATATGTCCAACTCGTAACAGATTGCTGAAAAGAACTTGGCAGCGGTTAAGCGGGCAAAAACACTCTGCTCCAAGTGTGGCTGACAATGGCTGTGTTTTGGTGACCTTCCGACGAAGGTTTTCTTCTAGGAGCAAATTCCGACTTTGTAGAGTCGTTTAAATTTTTTGTTTTCTTTTTGTTTTCTTTTCTGTCTTTTGCAAGCTGTTCTCATGCTAACTCCACTCCTTTTTGTTTTCTTTCATACATTAACTACAACTTCCAATATTCATTTCCCCCGCCTTGGTGTTAAAATACACAGCAGGCCGCAAGGCTATTACTAACTCTCACGATCAGTCACATTCCCTCCGAGATTAACTATCCTCTCACCGCCTAACCACTTAACCACCAAGAGCCAAACGACCTTCATTGTCTATGTCCGCGCAATGCGCTGGAATCGCATATGCGGTGGTGCACAGGCGATAGTATCCTCCAGGCCAAGGGCAATTCGTCCCCGATTTCTCCCTTGGTCTGTTCTTCCTCCGACCCGGCGATATGTGCAGAATATACCAGTCGGGTCCCCGTCCCTAAATCAGAACGGGCTTGAAGAAGAAGATGATGGAAATGGGGGCACTAGGAAGAAGAAGAAAGACGAGGATCCCGGCCCTTCCCTTAAGTCTACGATCCTGAAAATGCTGGAAGCCGCAGCAACTATGTTTGCGTCAATCGCTGTTGTAGGGTGAGACCATATAACGTTCTCTACATGCTGGGTTTGGTATAGGTGCCCTAACTATCCCATTCGCGCATACACACAGTGCGGCCGGATACTCTTATCATCGGTACTATAAACATCTAGTCTTGGAGAAAATGGACAATGCCTTCAACCCAGGAGATCCAGTTCTCGAGGTTGCTGGCGTGGCGCCTTCAATGGGCACCGATGGCAGTGATACGGGTCACTGGGTCGAACGTGAGGAGCAGAATAGGGTTGATCAGATAGTCAATGGTACCATTCGAGGCCGCTACTACCTGATTATCGGCGAAAAAGGAACTGGAAAGACGTCCATGCTTCTCGATGCCATGAGGAAAATTAATGGCGATGGAGTCGCATTTTTCGAAGCACATGCAGACCTTGAGATTTTCCGTATACGACTCGGCAAGGCTCTAGACTTTGAGTTTCATGAAGAGTTCGTATATATGACAAACCCCTCAAAATGATATATCGGAAGGTTTACTCATGTTTTATTTTATAGCTATATCGGCAGTTTGTTCAGCATTAGAGGACCTCGGGACACCACAGCCTTGCTGGATATTGAACGAGCTCTCAATAAACTTGAGAAAGTCGCGCTTGCGCGGCGGCACAAGGGCGGGAGACCGTTGGTGTTAATTGTTAACAGCACCCATCTTGTCAGAGACGATGAAGATGGGCGTGACCTTCTAGAGATGATCCAGCAACGTGCTGAGCAATGGGCAGCAAGCAACCTGGTAACAATGAGTGAGTTAAATGTACTGATTGGCTCCTTTCGCGTCGCCCTGCGTATTAACAACAGTGTAGTTTTCAACAGCGATGATTACTGGGTCTATGAACGGTTAAAGCGTTACGCCACCCGAATGGAGATTATTCCTGTTCCTGATCTTCCCAAGAATCAAGCGATGATAGCTCTTAGGCAATACAGGCAGAAATACTTTAACGAGACCCTCGAAGATTCGATTCTTGAACAGGTCTATGACAGGGTTGGCGGCCGGCTAACATTTCTCAATCGCGTTGCAAAATCAAGGGACATGTTGGGGACATGTGCGCAGATATGCCAGGCGGAGAAGAAATGGTTTCTCAACAAATGCTGGATATTGGGTGCGGAAATGGACGATGATGTTATGAATGAGCAGAAATACTCGGTAACGGCCAATTTACCCCTTTTGCTGTGCCATTTATACTTCTTACTCATCTCATCTCTAGTCTGCCGCAATGGTCCTCGCTAAAGAGCTGGTCGACCGGGAAAAGGGCATGGACAAAACCTATCACCCGGAACAGGGACACATCCTTCCACAGATGCCTCTTCACGAAGCGCGACAAGTCATGACAAGAGCAGACTTTATCCAGAGCTACGATCACGATAACATATTCACCATCGACTCCAATGCCATGGTTCGCGCGGACTCCGTTCCGATGCAAATTGCCTTCAGGGAGATTTGCAATGAGCCAGGCTTCGCCGAACACCTGGAAAAGACCCTAAATCGAATTAGCGATATTGAGAGCTTGGGCAGGACCCGAGAACTTACTGTCAAGGACTTTTGGCACAATGGGTCATTCAAGGCGGTCATTCGCGATACGAGAGGTAGAGAGGCTGGAACTGTAGAGATCGGTGTGGTTCAACCCAAAGAAGAAGAAGGAGGAGGAGGAGATGATGATTAAAGGAGTGTGCGTTTTTGCTCGTGAACTACAAGCTGACCATTTTGTTTTCGATACGTATCTTGTCACTCTTTGTGTTTTTTATCTAAAATAACCCTTTTACTTAATGGGTCCGCGGTTTGAATAGGCGTTCCGGCCCTTCAAATTTATACTCCGCCAGTCTAAAATTTCCTATTTGCTTGTATTATAGAAGTGTTCAGTGGACACACACCCTTGCTTTAACCAGTTTAATTACAAGTTTTAATATTTGTGTATATAGATGTTTTCGGTTCTTAACTCAAGAGGACATCCCTGGAATTCATCAAGCAGGCAAAATACGACATCCCATGTCCTGTACGCAGGCAATTTGTACACATTTACAGATGGCTCTTGGCTGGCAAAGCCCTTAGCTAATTTGTCCGCAGGAAAGTATTTTCACGGCAGAAGATGCAACAATAATACCCTAACCATTTTTTCAGTTAAAATTCCACCCGTAGTATTCATCCTCCGCATTTCCCTTGATATTTTCCACGGTTTCCAAGGCAATTCGTTCCATGGAAAGTTGGAGATAAAACTAGCCAATCAGACGTTTGTAAACAACCTGGCTCTCGAAAGCTGCCATGACGTCATCGGCTCGCTCCTCCCATCGATTAAAAACATAACATCAAAACAATCCCTGATCTGCGATCAACACACAAGAACCGCCACTATCAGGAATCCGGTCCTTGTGCCACGTTTAACTCGCAAAATCCGAACACCTGAGTTTTTTCAACCCGTTCGCATCATCCCAAACAATTCAATACGCAAGGCGCCAACGTCACGATCCCACTCCGCCACTCACCGCCGCCGAGGCGTACGACGAATCATTAAAAATGCCGCCTCGAAAGGCATCAACGACGCCAGTGAAGGCGAGCTCGCGGACGAAAGTGAAAGCTGCCGCATCCAATGTAGAGCAGGTCGCAACTAGAGATGCCCCTAACTGGCTCCTCTGTGTGGTGCAATACAGCGGCATTTTGTTATCTAGTCTGGCACTCAGCACCGCGCTGTTCTCCCTTAGCACCCAGATTACACGCGGAGATCTTGCCTGGACTAGCAAGTATTATGATCATTGGTGGCAGGTTGGAGGATTGTTGACATGGAGAGCTGTTGAGTTAACTGTTGCTTGGGTCTTGGGATACGACGGTCAGTTACATACCCCAGTCCCCCTTTGCTCGCGCACTCAACCTGACCAACACTAACCATGCCCTATATCCTTACAGCCCGCGATGTCGCATCCTTCATCTTCCTAACCCATCTCCCGACCTATGTCCTCCTCTGTAGCTTCTACGGAACCCGCCCTACGACCATGCTAACGGTCGTGTTCATAACCATCTTCTCCATCGCCGTCCCATTCTGCATCTTCCGCGCCCCAAGCCGCGTGCACCAGGAACACCCTATCTCCTGCACCTGCAGCCGCATTTGTTCTCGACTTTGTTCACGGCTTTGCGCCCGCACCGGCACAGCCAGCACCAGCACAGCCGCCAAAGGTAAAACCAAACAAAAGCCAACAATTCTCACAGACACCCCAACAACTGTCTACACCACCCTCGTCGCCACAGCCATCTACACCGTATCCCTCTACACCAGCTTCGCCACCTGGCTCCCAAGCTGCCTGGTCATGCACTTCGATGGCCTGCCGGACCTGCGCCGCGCTCATGAAGGGCCAAGAGGCTTTGTCTCCCTATTCACCACCCTATTGCCCGCAGGCTACGCCCTGCGCGATTTTCTCTTCGTCAGTTGTATCGGGGCTGCGTCCCTTGACCGTCAAGAAGCGCCAAAGGGGCGGAAGCACGTCGAGCGACCTGGTGAGCTGCTTGTCACGTCGCTGTATCGCAGGTACTGGCTGGGGCTGTTGACAAAGACGCGGGTATTGGCATCGCGCACTGTAGTGCTAGCGACGATGATTATGTTGAATACGATTGTGCAGGTTGTTGGGACGATCAGTGGGGCGGGGCTAGAGGGTGCGGTGGGATGGGGGATTGTTTGGGCGGTTGCGACTGCTGTGACGGGTGTGGTGTTTGGATGGATAGCTGCTGCAGATGGACTGTGAGATTGTGCGTTTGTTCAGTTTGTTTGGTTTTTTTTCTTTGCTTTTTACCTTTCCCCTGTCATATTTCTCTTCTTTTCCTGAAAGGAAAACCCCCAAAACATCATATTGTTCTTAGTTCCCCTTTGATTCGGATTTCTCTGGAGTGGTTGCGTCCCATCAGAGCACTTTCTCCCACTTGTCGTCGATAACGCGCTTCTTTCGTTTATATCAAATTTTACTTCTCCACATTCTTAATCTATGTTGTCTATTGTTTTATTCTTTAGTTTTTATATTCTGCTTTAACCTTAGGTTATTGGGATACCTTTTTTTTTTCTTTTCTTTTTTTGGGATTGAGCACTGGCGCGAGATTCTGGCTATGCGAAGGAGACAGGGGCGGTGGGCGTTTTCAGTTATTCGGGTTTTCTTGGTTTATCGAGTTCCAACGAGGAAAAGTTATGATTGAAGGGCGTGACATGATAAGATGCTGGGTGGAGGAGGGAGATCAAGACAGGCAGTGGAAAGAAAGAGTTGGCAAATCAACCGAAAATTTGAAAAACAAAGAGAGGGATGGAATTAGAAGGGCAGCGGGAAGGGAACCAAACTGAAACTCATGAAAAGCCATATGTAATTTAGCAATAATTTAATTTTCCAACACAAAGTTTGTATTTGTATTATTGATCAGACTTACATTGTAGAGATGTGGGATGGCTGGATGGAAAAAGGTAGAGATGCCAAAATCAGACACTCAGGAATGAGTAGCAAGAGAGCAAACAGAAAAAGAAAAGCAAGGATGAGGCTAGGCTGCAATGAGAAACAAGAAATGACACAATCATAGAAGAAAAGTGGCAGATAGCGCGAAATAATGAAGCTCTATTGGGGATACACATTCCAAGACCATGAAGGGAGGAAAAACAGATAAACCCCTCTCCCGCCCCCGCCCCCCCCGGTCCCCCAATCATAGCTTCAATAGAGAACCCAAACTGTCCACAAACAAACTATAATACCTAATCACATTCTTCTTCCCAACCCCCTTCATCAAACAGCCACGAAACCAAACCAAACCCAATCGAACTTGAAAAAAGTTACCATCCTGACTTAACAAGCACACCCCTCCTTCGCCGTCGCCGCATCCCGATCCCTTAAATTAATCCGCGCATCCTCTCCAGACCTCCCACCACCAAGACCACCACTGTTCCCCGCACCAGCGCCAGCACCAACACCCCTCGCCCCCTTCAGACTCGTTTCCGGAATCGCATTCGCAATCGCAGTGAAGACCTCAGCTACATTAACCCCCGTCTTCGCACTAGTTTCGAAGAACAACAGCCCTTCCTCCTCCGCATACGAGCTTGCCTCGCGCGTGGAGATCTTCCGCGCATCACCGGCCCGAGCATCCTGCTCCTCCTCCTCGTCATCTTCGTTTTCGTCTCGCTCAGCGGCATCCGCTGCAGAGTCACTGTCGGCGCCCTCAGAGGAGTCCGGGCCCGACGAACCACCTGCAGACCCTCGGCTGCCGGAAGATGCGGATGGAGCAGGCCGTCTGCCTGGTGCTGTTGCTGCTGCGCTAGAGTCTTCATTGGTTAGGTCAAGCTTGTTGCCGACGAGGGAGATGACGATGCCTGGGCTGGCTTGTCGCTGGAGCTCAGCGACCCAGTGCTTGGCTTTTGTGAGGGAGGAGGGCTTGGTGAGGTCGTAGACGACAAGGGCAGCTTGGGCATTACGGTAGTACATGGGTGCGAGGGAAGCGAAGCGTTCTTGCCCTGCTGTATCCCATATTTCGAACTTGATGGTTCGGGTTGGGAGGGAGCATTTTTGCGTAAGGAAGGCGGCTGTGGGTGGGGTTAGTGAGAACTGGTTTAGGGAATATAGACACGGATAACTACAGATAAGGAAGACAAGGATGATATGATTTATTTCATTGGGATCAAATAAAGAGAAGCAAACGCTTCGTACCTCCTATCGTCGGCTCCTTATTTTCTTGGAAATCATTATTGACGAATCGTAGGACTAGTGAGGACTGCAAGACGAAAACATGCATCCGTCAGCACATGAATCCCAAAAAGTATTATCGGACATCCAGGGATGTGTCCCATAGGACTCAAAATTTGGTGATTGGAGGTCATCACAAACCTTGCCTACGGCAGCTTCTCCAAGCAGCACAAGCTTAACACTGCTACTAGGTTTAGGACCAGCAGCTCCTGCATCCGTCATGGTTATTTATTCTTCTGATATTTTCTCAAGACTTCTTTGCAAAGTCACTCCAGAGGGGATCCGTCCAAAAAATTTTGTCAAGGCCGCTTCCAATAGATGACGTTGATCGATTGATCAGGCAGCCGCGGCGTGGACCGGATATAATTTTGAGGCCAAGTTGTCCAAGCTGTCCAAGCAGCTGTTGATTGATTATATCTCAGGTCCTCTGTTCCGGTTTACCGTAGCCTTATGCAAAATAGACGAACTGAAAATTCTCCAGAGGAGAAGCAAGGACAGCGAAACGCAGATGATGTTGCCCTGAATGATGCGGTGGTGAATTCGTTTACCACAGGAAAGGCCTGTGACAGCAATGTTTGGGATGCTCTAACCCCTCCACAATTCCGAGAAAAACAAGGAGTTGGTGAAGCTAAACAATGGAATGTACTAGCTGTTCTTTGATCCAGGGGAATATTGTCAATGGGCCGTCAATCAAAGTGGTGCATCATACTGTGCAGTTTGTGAAAATGTCTTTGATGTTGGTTTGCTTCGTCGACAAGAAGGCAGAGGACCCAAGGCGCCTTGCCGAATCAGGACTCTCCCAAGGCCACATGTTGTTGTACACCGCCACCGCTAGGCCTAGTTAATAACTAGTGAATTGGAACGAAGCCGCAATATTATATAATATCTGGAAGATACAAGCCACATTAATATCACGTGATATATTTGACCCAGACAGACAATTGTTTGTTTTGTTTGCCCTTTTCCCGTTTTGGGCCAAGCCCTAGCTCTAGGTAGTGGGTCTCTGCATGAGGATCGCAGCCCAAACATCGCACCCTGCATGAAGCCAAGGTCAAAGGTGAAAGAGAAAAAGAAATGAACATTGATTCCTGACAGGCGAAGCAGCTTCTGCGCGAGTCAAATGTTGCCATCCCACACCGAAAAAAAGCAAAAAAAACTTTGCACATACACAAAAAATAATTTGAGATGGCAGGGTTAAAAAGATGAAATATGGTGCAAGATCATGTCTCATCCCAAACACGAGGTACGAATCCTTTCGAGAAAAAGAACACATAAGCTCAGCAAACCCATATTGGCAAGATCGTGGACAATAGGGGCCAACCCATAGCAGCCGTTTCAAATACGGGGGGTTTGAGTTACTGGTCAAGTTTTACCAGGCACGGGAGGAAGGAAAACACCGTTTACTTTCACGCATGCCTGCATATTAAATGTCCTTTGTTCTGCAACGTCAACATCCGCTCGCTCTGGAGAAAAATCAAAATGAATAAATGGGAGAGCGCAAAAAAAAAAAATCTAATGAATGAACGTGTGGTTGTTTCATGCACAATAATATATTCGTTTTTCTTTGCATGGTCCTCTGCGCTCCTGCTTTTTCGTCGCCTTTTCATATTGACACGCCATCCATGGTTGAGAAAGGGGATAACGTTTATTTCTCCACATATTCATATTCAGCCGCTCTAAAAACAAAGATCCAAGGAGAAATCAGAATGTCGATTTTAGTATCGTGGCAGGCAAGAGTGTGGTTTGGAGTATATGCTACCAGAGCATGCCTCGTTTGTTGTCTGGCAGGAGGTGTCGGAGACATATCCGGATAGCAGAGAGAGGGGTGAAGAACTTAGCATCAAACAGTCGGCACAGACAAAAGTGAAAATGATGAGAGTCAAAAGATGACTTGAATATTAAAATGATAGGATAGGACTTGGGTCATGCAACGGAGAACAGTCACACACAGCTAAGGAGTCGGCCGGTCAATTCCAATAGGCGCATGTTGGACACGGAAAGGGGACAAGGGCGAAGAAAGTAGTTCGAATTGTTGATCCGTGTCTTTGGGACGTATGGTGACGACAAAAGAACAAAGGAGCAAGCATTGTCATGAAAAAAAGGAACAAGTGGTGAAGTAGGAAAATAGGACAAAGGCACACAGATAGATAACCGAAATCAAAAACAAGCTTCCCAAAATATTCCAGGCACAATACACTAAACGGCACGCACAAAAAGTATATATATACATGACTGCCAACATGCGAAGCTAATAAGCAAAATACTTAGGGATCTGTTGGTGACAAACGATAGGTAGCCATTTTCCCTTCGCGCCGCTCTGATAATTATGATTATTAGGTAGTGGTATGTTTGCCATATCCTGCTGTGATTGAATAGCAGGGAAAGACGCAATAGCCAAAAATTCTTTTCGCCATAGTTTGTTGTACACGCGAGTCTGGTAAACAATCAAAAGAGAATACAGACACCCAGATATAGGCTAACAGGTATAAATAAATATATTGAAAGAGAAGGAAATCTCAAACAAATGAAATGAAGGTATGAAAACGCACATTAATAAGAACATTTAGAACTGAGTAGTCGAAAATCTAGATCTTGTGGTGTATCTCCCAGAGCCGTGAAAATGTACCCTTTCTATTTTTTGTAACGCCGAAGAAAGCCAGAAGAAAAAAAGAAACAAGAGAAGAGAAGAAAGAAAGATAGATTAAAATTGAGTAGGGAAGGAAAGAAGAAGAAAAAAAGAGACCAGGTAATCACTCAAAGTTCGCTTTTTCCAAGGTAACTCAAACAAATAGGATATTGAAAGCAAAAATCCGGAAGTAGGTCACTGCCACAATATCAGTATCCAAGAAGTCGCTAAACAGGGTGCCGTACGCAAACGCTAGCAGATCGCAAAAATCAAGGTAATCAACGACGGACGCGAGAAGAGACCGATCGAGTGAGAATCTGTCATAGTTGTGGTTGACGTTGGTACAGACAGACCGATAGCCCGGTATTATTAGGTAAATAATATGTGGTTGAATGTCAATCGAGCATTTCGCATGTTGCAGAGACAAAGAATACAGGAGAAGTCGAAAATACTTTTGTTGAGGGGGAGGAGGAAGGGAGGTGTTTTTCGGTTGCAGGCGAGAGGCGGAAGAGAGCTTTAAAGGTAGAAACGATGCATGCCCATACTAGCGACGTCCGATTGTGCAGGACAAGTACTTGTTCCTAGTGCACATGAGTGTCTATATAGACGGAGGAGCTGACGGGGGTATTGATATTATATTGGTTGTATCTGCATCGCATCGTTTTTACACCGAATTGAAGTAGTTATCGTGGTTTAGGAGGCGGTGGGGGCTTTGGCACACCAGTCGTATCGTATGCCCCTCTCCCCATGTTTGTAGCTGAAGAATCCTCGAGGATCATAAAATAAAATCTATACAGGTCTGCTATACAAGTCTGAGATTTGGTCAGCTGATGATGTTGAATTTCCCTTATTTTCAGGATGTTGGAAAGTGTTTAAATTGTCAACGGTCCACAAAGACAACTATATATAGTTGATAGTAGCAAAGACAATATTCTCAACAGCTCAATCATCTAACTTGTATCCCTGTCATAAAAAAAATTAAATAGAACCATGCACGGCTAACTCACGTTACGAAGGACAATGCTCTAGTTTAATCGAGTATTGTCACAATTACTCTCACAGCTGACAATGTCTGAAAGGGTTGTTTATTCGCAAACGGAAGACAATGCACCAGGAGTATATCAGATCTCGTAATCAATGCGGGGAGTGTCCGTCTGACGTCGTATTTCGAATAGGGTAGTCTGGATGAGCGTTCTCTTCGTAAAAGAATTCTGTTATAATAGAAGGTTGACGAGCAGTAATTTTTGTTTATTCCTATCTATTTTTCTCGAACAAAAGGACCGCAACGATATATGGCAGAAGGGTTCTTTTTGCGCCACCCAGGTAGGGTTCTTTGGGTATTGGTATATATGGGAAATATGAGGTCAAGCCGAGGCACAGGCAGAAAAGCTAGGAGAGAGGTCAATGTGAATAGCAGCGGAAAGGAATATAAAGGCTCGAGGTGAACAGCAGGAAAAGAGGGAGGTTGCAGAAAGAATGAAAGGAGAGCTCAAGCCTCTGGTGTCATGACAGGTGTCATGACAGGAAGAATGAAGGTAGAAGAGAGAAAGAGAAAAAAAAATCCCCAAGGGAGATCAAGATGAGACGACGGGAGGGTCATCGCATATTAATATAAGCAGACTACCAGGGCAAAATGCAATAAATTAAGAATAAACCCATTATTATGGAACCTGGTATGAATTGGATGAATGGGCTCGTACCATACCAGCGAAACGGAGCACAGAAACCCGATCTTCGATAGCCCCTTTTTTCTTAGGCTAGAGCTCCTACTTTTACAATTTGCCAGAGAAAGAAGCAAATAATGGTGGGGACACCAGCTCCCATTGATACATCTGGAACAGAAAAAGCTGGTTTTTGCAACATCAGCTAGCACCATCGCCAGCTAACTGATGTAAAAATGTATGATCGTTATTTTTGTTATTTTTTTATACTATTTTTGCAAAACACATAGAGCAAGATATTAATTACGGTGCTGGTCATTTTACTCATTATCATGCATCAATCACATCAAGTAATCATTATTCATTCGCCTGTAACAGCATGCGTCAAAACTCACAAAGTTGCTTCCCAAAATGAATGACAATGAGCTGTCATATTTAGTGCTTCCATTTATCAATTATTATTATTGTTGTTCTATTATATCTTCGCTTTCTTACTCGTTGCAAGGTAGAACAGGGGGAGAACAGGGGAATAGCAGCCAATCTGATCTTATTCCTTACGTGTAACATTTCTCCTTATTTCACCATTGTCTCTGTTAAATTTGATATAGCACTAGCAAACTTGGCTTTTGATATATTCTAGGCTTCAGCAAGTTTTTTATCCCTCTCATCAGAGGAGTCACCCTTGGGACATTTCCACACCAGAATATTGAAAAGAGCGGCGGTTGAAGCAACAGAAAAATAGAAGAAAAAAGGAATGAGATAAAAGTGGATATTTACTAGCTAAAATAATGCCTGTGGGCGGGCAGAAACAAGCCCCCTGTTGCTGCCTCCACTACGCCCGATAAATCCTGGTAGGGCCCAAGGAGTTGGTCATGGAACGGTTGGACGCCTAGGATTTAGAGGGCCGCCTCTCACAAAACACTAGCCCTACAAGGTGCGGCCTAGGGCTTGCATTTCAAAATATTTCAAAAGGAGGCTCTTTCTCGCTGCCTCGGATATGCTGTATGCGGCGAATGTTCTTTTATCTTCAGTCTTGCCGTTCGGCCTTAGCTGTCTGTTCATGCACACCATGCGGCATTCTGCATCTGGTAGGACAAGCATGACACTGTACCAGTGCTCTGTCCGGTATAAACAGCTTTTTTCAATGTAGAGAGTTGTATTGGCAAACCTCGAGCTTGGTCAGAATGGGCGGCTAACTAATTATGGCTCGCAAATGGTGTCACCTTGGAAGTGGTCCATGTGGGAAAAGTAATACAGTGTTAAAAAAAATAAAAATAAAAATAAAAATAACAAGGCACTAAGATGTCCTCCCTTCCGATGAATATTACTCGTTGAACTACTCGTCATCGGTCCCAGAAAATACAAAAAGGACAGCTGAATCTTCCTCAGATTCTTGCACAGGAAGTGACTGGCCACCAAGATGAGTTGGAACTGGACACGAAGCGGTAAATCACATCAAATATTCGCAGTAGTTAAAAGAATAATACTGACTAACAAGCTTCACAAGAATCCTCCAGTCGATTGAGACAGAGTGTGAAAAGTTAATCTACGCCAGACC